GGGCGGCGGGACCGCGGCGCGTCTGGGCGTCCCGCCGCCCGCGTCCTCTGTGGTGAGAAAAGCCCCGTTCGTATGTAGGGATCCGACGTAAGTCGGATCCATGTAACCCGGGGACTGCCTGTATTCTGAATAACCACACACACAGATAAAATCTGACTGCAGTGGCAAGGGGCCATGTGGGCTGGCCGCTGAGTTGTATTGAAAGAGGTGCTGGGGTTCAAGCAGGTTTGTTCTCTGGAAGGCTAGCCCACACTACCTCTTGTCATGGCTACATTACTATCATTGCACCAGCTCAATGAGAGCTACCAACTGTTTAATTTGTGGCAGGACTTGCCAGGGCTGAGCTCTGGCACCTTTAGCCTTGGCAGTTCATAGTTCTGACACCTCAAGGCTAGCTGTGTCAGCACTGAAATTAAAAAAAATTGCTTGAGCCTCTAGCACTTCTCTCATTACAAATGAACACTGGAGCTAGTGGAAGTGCGTCTTCCTGAGCTGTAATCCCACTCCCAGCTCGAATTGTACACTTGCCTCAAGACTGCACTTCACAATAAACAGAGTTTGGGGCAGGAAGTAAAAACTCCTGTTTTCTCATTTTAAAAAGGGAACGTGGCCTATCAACTAAAGCAAGAGACTAGACGTCAGGACTCCTGGGTTTTATTCCTGGGTTTGCCCTTAACTCACCATTTAACCCTGGATAAGCCACACAAGCCAAACATTTCACACGTACATCTGTAGGTCCAGACACCCAAACTCATAAATATGGGGCCTGATTTCCAGAGGCATGGAGCAGCCTCAATTCCCTTTGACTTCAATGGGAGTTTGTCTGAGTGAGGACTGAATGGAAATGGAAGAATCTGGACTAGTAACATGCATAAATAATAGGTAATAATAATAACAATAAAAATAATAATAATACTTTTATCTGATATTTTAATATTTTGCTTTTTCAGTATGTGTCCAGAACTTGCCCTACAATGGAGATCCATGTGAGCCCCAAAAGTGCTTGTAAATCAAGATTAGATCTTCCCTGAGCTGCTTTTTCCCAATTCAAATTTACATATTTTAATTGCAAAAATCTATCCTCTTTAGGGAGCTCCTTCTACCCACTCAGGATTTTTCTGTACTTGTCTGTATTTCCAGAATCTCATGCCTCTTGCTGGTGCAAAAATACAGCATAATTGGAGTGTCATGATGGTCAAATGAGAATCAAAATATTCACAGTGAATCAGCTTGTTAGCTGTAAATTGATGTTGGTTTATGCCAGCTAAGAATCCGGCCCAGTGTATGTGTTTACAAGCAGCCCACCAAATTCTGGCCTTGGATTCAGGCACACTGGAATAAATGGGAGCCACATACATCAAAGAAGAAAATGTAACCCTGAAATTGTCTTAAAAAAACACAGTATCTGCAGCATTTTCAAGACAGAACTGGCAAGATTCCCTTGACTATCCTTCCAGTCTATCCAAACCATAGGCCTGAAGGTCTTTCTCCTCTCAGGCTGCTCTACTGATAGCTCTCCATTGTTCAAATCTCTTTCAGCAGCTTCCTCTTCCATGTTCAAGCTTCTCATTTTCATCTTTAGGGCTGTTCATCATCAGAGCCCTTCCAAACTCTTCCCTCTCACTCTCTCACTTCGACTGCCCCCTGATTCCCGACCTCTTCCCAACTCTTCCTCCGGCCAGCCCTTTTTTGTATATTTCTCCCACTCTTGGCTTCCTGTCTTTGTCCATGCCAATCCTGAATGCTTGGAGCCCTGTTCTCCGTCTCACCAATCCGTCACTTCCCTACCACCTAGTCTTCAATCGCATTTTGCCATTGGGAGCCTGAGCAAGTCTCCAGCCTGCCTGGTAAACATACTTCTTCCCCCAAGTATTTCAGCAGTGATCTCCTAAAAGCAGAGTTGGTTGAAAAATAGGGATTTTTTCAGCTGAAATTTTTTGATTTTTTTACCCTGGAAATACAAAATATTTTAATTCAGAACTGCTGCTGTTGTACCCCATGGGTACGTCTACACAGCAGCATTATTTCAAAATAACTAGTGTTATTTGGAAATAACTTAGTCTGCGCCTACACAGCAGGCAGTTATTTCAAAATAATGTCAAAATACTGTCAAGCTGGAGGACTTCTTGCTCCAACTCCTGGAACCCTCATTAGTAAGGGAGTAAGGGAAATCAGAGGAAGAGCGCTCTATTTCAAAATAAGTGCTATGCAGACACTCCCAATTTTGAAATAAGCTACTCAATAGATGTAGCTCAATTTACATGGCTTATTTCAAGTTAAGACCTGCTGTGTAGATGCACCCCATGGGACTTTGTAATACAGTTTCCTCATGCTTCCACTATTCTCTACAAGCCAGGCTCACAATATTGCACAATATTTCCTATGATATCAGGATACATCTTGGAGGGTGAGACAGTGCTTCCATGGGAGTTTTTGGCCATGGTGCATCAGTCCAACCATGGAGTCCAGGCAAAGGAGGAGAATGGGAACACAGAGCAACCAAACTACCACTCCTTGAAGCACTGTGGCAGCCTTCCCCAATCAAAATATTTTGGGTTTGGGCCATTTTTTTTTTTTTTTTTTGGTGAAAATATTTCCATGGATAGCAGACACTTCTTGAGAAAAATGTTAACTGAAAACCCAGTTTTCCCTTGAAAAATAGTTTAGTTGAAATTATTTTGATCAGCCCTATTTACAAGGTATCCCCTAGAAATCCTTTCTGCGACATGAATCCACTTGGAAGCATCTGCTCAAGAGATTGACAAAATGTAATTGTATATAATAAAGGAGGTCTTCTAATAAAGGTGGATCGGAATTGTGCTCAGGTGTGTCGGGGTGGCCTTTTGTGCAGGGTTTGCTGCATATGTCAGAACTACACTGCAGTGTACTCAACATGGATGGAGATACATATATAGATTTGAATTCTAAAACTCACTTAATCCTGTTGTGAACTCCTCTGGTGTAAGTGAACCATTGCCATCCGCATCCAGGGTATCAAAAACTTTCTCCAGCTCCTCCAGGCTAAGAGGCAACTCACCTTGAAGTCTCTGAAATGACAAACCATACCTCCATTACACTATTTATTTAAAAAGTGGTTAGTGGACTAGAAGACTCTGAAGAGCAAGACAAGAACAGCAGTAATTTAGAATGACAGAACTCTACATTTCCTGCAAAATGGAAATTCCGCTTGCCCTTCACCCCACAAAAAAATCCATTTTGAAAAGTGAAGTGAAACATTTCAAATTTTTCCAAATAAAACCTTTCAGAGTTGACAATGTTATTCATTTTATATTACTATTTTATGTTTCAATTTATTTCTCTATTTTATTATTTTTAAAAAGTCATTTTCTTTTTTTAGTGACATATATTTAGATACCTGGCATTGCTCAGGTCCTTCCAGGGAGGAGGATGGAGGAGTAGGGGAAGTGCAGGAGTCAGGGTTAAGGGTGAGGAGTGGCTATGAGCAGGGGGTGGGGTGAGAAGGAGCCAGGCAGGGTTTAGGAGGTCGGGGGTGGGAGGTGCTCAGGGTAGGGAGTGGGAGCCAATGCCGGCTAAGGGCAGCAAGGGCCATGAGGTCCCAGCTGGCAGCTTCTCCTTTGGGCCATCCATGGGCAGCAGGGGCCCCAGGGTTTGGCTGCTGGCTGCTCCAAGGGGATGGCTGGAGCAGCGGGGACCATGCTGGTTGGCTAGTAATTGTTCCCCAGGGCAGGCCAGGTAGCAGGAGCTGTGCTGCCTGCCAGTGGCTGCTCCCTAGCGCTGGAGTGCTTGCTTCCCTCCTGTGGTCATTCTGGAGGTCATAAGTGTTCCTGCTGCCATACCCTTCCCTTTCCATTTGATGAGAAACAATCCCATTCCAGACACATCCCATTGTCCTGGCACAACCAAACTCTGACTTTGCTTTAAGTTATGTTAAGAGGAAGCTGCCTGCTAAATTTAGTGGTCCTAGTTCTTACCATTTAGGATGAAGTTCTTGAAGGGATGGACTCACAGACGGACAGAAGGACACACAGACAGACATGCACAAACTCTCTCAAATATATTGTAGATTTCACATTTGTATACCATTTTCTAGGGTAGTTTAATGTTGTTATAGTAAATACTCAAGTATTATATATTGCATTTTCTTGTTCATGGTCTCTTCTTTGGAAACTGAACAAATCTGATATGGAATCAGTGAGATAAAAATGGATCATTGCAATATTTAAGTCATTTAAAAATGAGTGACTTAATGGGATACAAATTGCTCTTCAGTATATATTCTTATGGGGGTCTGATATCAGAAATGGAGAGTTGTGTCCAGGGATGACTAAGTTATAGGAGTCAAAAAAGAAATGTTGTTGAAAAGGGCATAGTGGTTACCTAGCTTTAAAGAATAAACGGGGCTAGACCTGCTTTCTATATTTGGATGGGAAATTGAGAGGACTCCCATTGACTTCAGCAGAGAAATATAAGGTGTTGGCTTGTCCTCAGTTCACAAAGGACCCGCTGCTATACCCAGAGGCTGTGTCTAGACTGACAAGTTTTTCCGGAAAATCATCTGCTTTTCTGGAAAAACTTGCCAGCTGTCTACACTGGCCGCTTGAATTTCCGGAAAAGCACTGACGATCTACTGTAAAATCATTAGTGCTTTTCCGGAAAAACTATGCTGCTCCCGTTCAGGCAAAAGTCTTTTTCCGAAAGACTTTTGCGCAAAAGGGCCAGTGTAGACATCATAGTAATGTTTTCTGCCAAAAAGCCCCGATTGCGAAAATGGCGATCGGGGCTTTTTTTTGCAGAAAAGCGCGTCTAGATTGGCCACGGACGCTTTTCCCGAAAAAGTGCTTTTCCGGAAAAATGTCCTGCCAATCTAGACGTGCTTTTCTGAAAATGTTTTTAACGCTTTTCCCAGGCAGTTTTATTTCCCAAACATAGGTTTTAAAAACCCAACCCATTAATACAGTTCCTTAACCCATCTTGGCTACAGCTCCCAGGAGATTTCCTCTTTGCCTCTCAGTCCTTGCTTCAGGGCCAACTGCAGGGCAAACGCCAATGTTCTTTTAACTAAGCTCCAGGGCCCCTGGCTTTCTCCATAGAGACCCTTTTCCCCCAGAACCATGTGCTACCCTTCCTCCTAACTGGCCAAATTGGGAACACACATTCTACTACAGGGGAGCGGCTCATTTAAAGGGGTCAGCCACTCTGTGACAAGCAGGCTCCAAGTATCTGAGTTAACAGTGATACAGAAATTGTAACTTCACAATTGTCTTGCCTCTTGTATTTTTTTAATTCTCATCTTTGGACCTCTGGTAGAATACAAAGTCAAAGGGAGAGACTGATCACACCCCAATTTTACACCAGTAAAACTTCACTGGTTTCAGTGACGTTACTCTTGATTTACACAGGGGTTTAGTGAGTGGAGAATCAGGCCCAGTGTTTTCAAGTAGGATGTTTTTGTAATTTCATCTTTAATCAGCTTAGCTGGAAACAAAACCAAGCATAATGCAATGCCATTGCAAGTGGTTTCATGTCACTGAGTCCCAGTGCCCTTTACTTCTATTTTTAAATGAATTGGAGATTTGCTCGTATACAAAGCTCATCATACATGCTAAACAGCTCCTGTGAGAGCTGTTTTATGTTGTGAAATCAAAGACAAAATTACATTCTTCTCTTCGCAACTCAATTTCTCTATTACCCTTCTCAAAAGCTTGCAGCTAATACAGTTACATTTCCTCTGTAAGAATAGAACTCAGACCTCTTTTTATCCTCCTTGTAGAAACAGATATTAAAGTTCAAAAATGTGTCAGGGTTTTCTTGAATTAAAAATTAAATCCTGTTTTCTCTTTACCATTTTATCCATATACATAAAAAGAACAGAATGGGGATCCAAGAAGCTGCCTAATGGCCCAAATGGCCGTAAAGGTTTCAAATGTTTACCACCAGGAATAACACACTTACTACTGTGATTTCAATTTCTTCAGTGAAACTAGACAGCGAAGTAGCCACTAAAGCTAACTGTCAATGTTTACTCTTACTTTTTTTTTAAAACTTTTTCAGTGAGGAAAACAAATTGAAAAACAGAAGAACACAGAACAGAAAACCTGCAATCAGCAATAATATGAGCATTGATTTGTTTGGTTTTTCAGAATGGATAATTCTCAATGTGTTGGGCACATTTTTCTATTACATTAAACCTCTTTGTATGTGAAGGTATTAAATCCTCCAAGAATTTAATTTAAGACATTTCCACTGTCGCTGCCTTGCTAATGCTCATAAATTCTATTTAATCCATTAGCACTGAAGTAAAAATTAATACACTGCAGGAGTACTCTTCATGTAATACATGAATAGCTGCAGAGTGGATTGTTGTTTTCCATAACATATGTGATAGAGTAGCCATCTTAACATTTCCACAGCATGGGCCTGATCCTATTCTTGATGGAGTCAATGGCATTTTTGCCATTGACTTCAATGGGATCAGAATTAGGCCCCTTAACTTTTAAAATTAGTTGCACAAAACATTGATTTAATAAGCACAATGTGAACATATCAAAATAACTGCATTCTCTTTTGTTTGAATACGTGTATTTATAAATAATTTCAGACTGAGTGTTCATTGGCTAGAGAAAGCAGAGGGAATGGCTTTGAATGGCACCTGTTGACAAAATCTGTACAAGATAAGCTAAACACATTTTTGATTCTGCTGTAAAACAGGAGTGACCCCGAAGAAGTCACTAGAGTTCCACCAGTTAAAGTGAAACCCACCGAGTTTTATAAATTTTACATTTGCTTTGAGCTTCTATTTTATTTGTTGATTTGTATATGGTAAAACTATTGTATTGCATCATTTCACCCATTTTGCTTTACCTGCATGTCTTGCCGAGCGATGAAGCCTTTGCCCTCCACATCACAGATCTGAAAGAACTCATGTGTTTTCCCCAACATGGCTAGTTGTTGCCCTGAGTCCCGTTGTGTCCTGCTCCACTCTGTATTTCCAGGTGGCCCAGGACTGGCACGGTCCCCCTTTATTCTGTTCATTGTCACAGAAGTATTTTGGGACGCTGCCATCCCATTTACTCTCAAACTCTGGTCGACAACCTGTATGTTAAAGGTAAGAAAGAGAGCACATCAGAGCCTCTCAATGATGCTTTCCATCATCTCTTAGCAACCACCTCTTTAATTAGCCACTGAAGCCTCGGAGAAGAAAAAGGCTTTTTGAAAATGCCTACCATGATCTGTTCCATTAATAGACTGCACTAGAGCACATGCAAAATGGGATGGTGAACGAGGAAGGGGAAAAGATCTATGACCGAAAGAAATCTCAACACAAAATCAGCCCATTTAATGAGCAATGGAGACAATTAATTAATGTGAACAACCAGAAAACACAAAGTAGGGACAAATAAAAAAAAAGGAAAAGAATAATCTGTAGTAACTATAAGCACTCACTTGGCATTCTTTCTCCTTATTATCTACTGCCAAGACTCATTATTTAAATGCAGTCCCTTAAGCTTTTGGAATATGACATATTCTTATGCAAAATAATGAAGACTGATGGAAGTCAATGAACCACCTTCAAAAAAAAAAGGAAATAAATGGAGCCGCGAAAGAACAAGAAAATGTACATATGGAATTTTGAAATATCTGTTTAGGCTGCTCCTTATAGCATGTGTTTTTGAATATTCACCGGAACAGTAAGAACAATTATATAGTCAATTTTCTTGGCATGTTTTAAGCTGATAGTTTGAATAGTACACAAATCCTTTCCCCAGCAGTGTTTGGAAAATTATATCTTACACTATAAGAAAGAAAATATTCTTAATAAAAAATGTGGAGAGCTATAGTTTTTACCTTAATGTATTCTGAGTGATCTGATATAACAATATTGGATTTTCTTTTCCTATCTAAGCCAATTTAAATTATACTATGCAGAGCATCAGTGCAAGGAGAAGAGGATTTGCAAAAGACAAGATTAAAAAAAAAACCCTTTATGTCTATGGTGTGTAGTTTCTTTCCATATTTCGGTTTGTCAAACAGAATAGGGCTGATCACAAACTGGTATAAATCAGGAGTAATTCCATTAAACTCAATGCAATTACGCTAATATTAACTATCAGGAATCAGAGGGGCATCAGTCCCCTGTTTCTATTGAGAAGAATAGCAGTGGACTGTTTTGGGGATTGAAGGTGAAATCCAAGAAAAAATGCAGCTTGTCCATTCCATAATGCCTGCCTCCTAAGTGGAACAGGTCAAAGAGAGCATGGGACACATATGCTTGTTTGCCTGCACTGGCTTTCCATTTTGTTCCAGTTCTGCTTCTGAATACTTGTCCTGATCCCTGAGAGCCAGATTTACAAAAATATTTAAACACCTAAAGTTGCAGATAGGTGCCTACTGGGATTTTCTAAAGTGCTTAAGCAGGCTGAGTGCCTAATTCACACTGATTTCAGTTTGGCCTAAGACTTAAGTGCCTAACCTATTCAGATGCTTTTAAAACATTTAATTTCCAAGGCCTTCAGAATCTCAGAAACAACTTTTCTGCTACCTGCTTAGGCAGCTTCTATCACCCCAGGACATTAATGCTGACAGAGCTCTGGCTCAAATTCTCAGCATCCAAAATCAATATTTTCTTCACGCAAGGCTCCAGGCTATGAGGCACTCCACCCAAAGAGAGAGAATGAGCCTGAGTTATACCACATTCAGCGCACACCCCAAAACTAATGTGTTTCCTTGAGAGAGTCCCCATACGGGACAGAGTGGAAGAAGACGCAGTAGGGTTCTTCTGAAAGACACTAACTGGTGGCTAAAACAGGGTCTGGGAGGAAGAGTTTGGTCTCACTTTGGAGAGAACTTGTTCAGTGTTCAAGCATACGACGAGAGAGAGCTGACATCTAGGCTGTGTTCTCTCTCCGCATGGATGTCCTCTTCCACCAAGCATTTCCTGAGAGCAGAATTCACTAGTTCTGAAGATGATCACACTGCAATTGGGAAACTATCATAACGGCGCTTTGAGTCCTAATCATGTACCAAAGCATTGGGAGCCTTACAAATACAGAGATCAATTCCTGAGAATGCAGATAGCTTGTAAAAATGAGGTAGTGTTCCTTTCAATCGTTATTATCCCTTTCGCAGTACTACTGCTAACTGTCTTCTATGTTTCAGAAGTACACTAGAACTTCAGAGTTACAAACATCAGCGTTACAAATTGACCAGACAACTACACACTTTGTTTGGAATCATATGTACACAATCAGGCAGCAGCAGAAACAAAAACAAAAAGCAAATACAGAATAGTACTGTATTAATGTAATCAACTAAAAATGTAAAGGGGAAATTAAAAAAAAAGATCTGATGACAAGGTAAGAAAACTGTTTCTGTACTTGTTTCATTTTGATTAAGATAGTTAAAAGGAGCATTTTCACTGCATAGTAAAGTTTCAAAAGTGTACTAAATCAATTTTCAGTTGTAAACTTTTGAAAGAACAACTATAACACTTTGTTCAGTTACAAATCTTCAATCCCATGGTTTTCAAAACTCTAAGGTGCTACTATAACCAGAATTCTGCCAAAGCAGTACCATGTGTAAGTTACTAAGGCCTTGTCCATACTTACCTGGAAGGTCAAATTAAGATACACAACTCCTGCCTTGTTAATTGAGTAGTTGGAGTCAATGTACCTTAATTCGACCTTTGGCACCATCTCCACAGCGGGAAGTTGATAATAGGAAATGCTCCCATCAATTTCCCTTACTCCTCACGAATCAAGGAATACCAGTGTCAATGGGGCTGCCCTCAGTGTTCAATTTTGTGGGTCTTTACTAGACCTGCTAATTTGAACTGCAGAAGATTGACCACTGCAGGGTCAATCTTTCTGGTAGTGAAGATGTGGCCTGAGTCATGTCTATTAGTAAAGATGGTTCTTTGGACTTCCTTGTGTCTGTGCGTTCTCTCTTTATAAAGCAGATGACACAGCAATACAACACAGAAAGGTAAAAGCTGCAGAAGACAGAGGTCTTGCAGCAGTAAGACAGAGGTCTTTTTATTCTATGTATGTGCAGTGCCTAGCATGAAGGGGTCCTGGTCCAAGATCGGATGCTACGGTAATACTGGTACTACACTAGTACTGGCGTTTTGTTACTATGCTTGGCATTATGGTATTACAAATGAAAAATAATAATAATAATAATACCAAGAGGCAAGATTACACAAAGGGACAGATATAAATGAGCAGAGGGAGTGAGTTTTCATTGTAGAAGTTCATAGAGGATTTTTATAAGTGGGTTCTGACATGAACAAGTGGAGTTGTTGGAGGAATGTTGTCTGAAGACCTAGGATTTGGAGAGGTGAGAATGAAGGGTGCTGCAATAGCCACAAAATGAAAAAAATGTAATAGTATGGCCTGTATAGAATCTGAGCCCAATTGGTGCCTCACACTGATTTTACACTGCTGAAACTCCATTGGCTTTAATGGAGCTATTCTGAATTTATGCCTGTGTAAGAGAGATCAAAAGTAGGTCCACTGGGTTCAAATTCTGCTCTCGGTAAGGTTGATGGAGATTGGCTGTAGCTCCACAAAAGTAACTAAAGCTACACCTAAGTAAAATTGGTCTAAATGAGATCCCAATGAAGCCCCTAGGATACAGATCTAATTAAGCCATCTTTCATTATGAACAGTAATGATTTCTCGAAGAGCCATAGCCGCAGAAATAGTCCTAGCCGAACACCACAGCAAAAGGCTTCAGTTCCTGTGGTTTTTACAATGTTCTTTAATCTCACTCAAAAAGGAAAATGCTGAAGCCTACTTGCCAATGGCACGTGAAGCAATAGAAATAGGGGAACAGATAGAACACGTGTGCAATAGAGAGATGCCATTCATTACTTGATAATGATATTTACCTTTTGGCGTAAGCAAGTAACTTAAAAAACCTTTCCGGTATGGGGGACCAGTTCTGGCCCTAGAAAGGGGTGGGACCTGGGGGCCACCCTCTGCCAGCCAGCCAGCCCTTCCATGCTGCATGGCATGTGCCATATGGGACTCGGACAGCAGGTGAGCTCTAGACACTGCTATGGTTAGTGGCAGAAGCCAGGATCCCTCTGGGCCCTTTCAAATCATCAAGCCCAGGGGCACATGCCCCTTTTGAGTCCCTCCTCCCCCCGCCAAAGGTGATAGCCACTTCTTACTGGTACACCATACAGGCCCACTTTCACCTCTGGGCGGGGGAAAACTGATGATTTGCATACACTCCACTTTACTTTCAAAACATGACTGCACCATAAAACAAAATGATATGCATCACTAGAGCTGCACCTTCCATAACTATCATGTATACTTGCGATGTAGCAAGCAAAAGCCACGTGGCTTCCCCAAGCCAGCAGAAAATGAAATTAGAGGCTGCAATAAATCCCTTGATATATAAAGCTGCCTTCGCATCTGGTGTGCTTCATCTGAATTCCTACAGTCTGTTGATACCTTGCAAACACTGATAATCGCCGAGATGAAAAATGATTGTTTGCTGCACCTTATTGGATGGATAATTTAATTAGTCCAAGGTCACTTCTAAAAAATAAAAATGGGTTCCTCCAAGCATCCATCCGGTTAAGAAAACTAATTGCCTGCTTACAAATTCAGGTTGTCTCCCTCCCTGACTTGAATAGTACAGCACAGACCTGACTTCCCGCTCCAACCCTGTGACAAACACTGAGCTACACATAAATGCATACAGCACCAACTGGTGTAAATATCATCAGCTGGCTCAGCTCCATTGAATGCCATGGAAATACACCGACTGAGGTTTCTCCCAAGCTGCTGAATTCTGAGACATTTAGGGACTAGTTTTCAGAAGTGCTGAGTGCCCAGAGCTGATATCCGTGGTGTTTAAAGCCACAAGGAGTCAGTACGGTCATTTAGTCTGAGCTGGTGCATAACACAGACCCCAGAAATCCATGCTATTCCCAAACCTAAGCATTCAAACGTCAAATAGGACAAGAAGGTTAAGTCCCAGTTCAGGATGCAATAGGTTGAGTAAGAGGGTGTGCCCTGGTGTGCAGCTCCGGCAAGAGCTGGCTGAGCTGCTGCAAAAGCCAGCAGGGACCTGTTTAA